TTGTGAGCATGGTTTATGAATCGTTGGTTGTTTATTGATGGTTGAACTTGGATGTTCATGTTCTTTGTAAATAGGTCCTGTAGCTGAAGACATGTTTCATTGGCAAGCAACAATTATGGGCCCCACTGACAGCCCATATGCAGGAGGTGTATTCCTAGTCACCATTCATTTTCCTCCTGATTATCCTTTCAAGCCCCCTAAGGTAAGCCATTGCACCCACAATATGTTTTCCTTTGTGGTTGTGGTGTCATAGAAGCTACTATTGTGTTAAAAGCTTTAAGTTTTGTTGTTTGAGCCCACAATATTGCACTTTACTGGTTCAGGTTGCATTTAGGACCAAGGTCTTCCACCCTAACATCAACAGCAATGGAAGCATTTGTCTTGATATCCTAAAAGAACAGTGGAGCCCGGCACTTACCATTTCTAAGGTTAAGACCTTACTCCAATTGTTTATGTCGGTGCTTATTGTATTATGTGCTTAATTTCTGTTGCTTTCAGTTGGCAATGATTTACACAATGAGTAGATCATTTGAAACTTCAAAAGATGAATGATTATCTACTGCATGTTGGTTCAGCCATTACTCTTGGAAGTGGAAATGAAATTGAACAATTTACATCTAGTTCTTCATTCAGTCATATTATGTGCATTTGCATTTAGGTGAAGCTCATTGATAAAGACCATTTCTTAATTAGGTCTCAGGTTATTATTTTGGTTTCTTGTTTAAGACATTGGTTATTGCATGGACTAACATGAATCCATATCAGGTTCTGCTCTCTATCTGTTCATTGTTGACCGATCCAAACCCTGATGACCCACTTGTTCCGGAGATTGCTCATATGTACAAGACTGATCGGGCCAAGTATGAAGCCACTGCACGCAGCTGGACCCAGAAGTATGCCATGGGTTGATATTGGTTATCACGCCAATGTAATGCATTAACTTTATGTTTTCTAAACAGAAGGTGGGGATGTTTTCATAAGGAACCTATATTATGCTTTCTGTTTGGGGGTTTGGCGGATAGAATTATGTCAAATGTGTTGTGTTATGTACTCTTTAGCATGTTTGAAGCTCTTGTTTCATTGAATGTAGAAGTATTTATGATGCATCACAAAACTGCACCCCAAAAATACCATACTAATTTTTTTTTT